GATTCGTAACCACTACGCTACTAGAGCTCCTTATTTTCTTTGGTCAAATCATTTTTAGAAATATGTTGTAATTGCAGAACAATTGGATAATCATATTTTGTATTTCTTTCCTTCTTTATTTGTTCTCTTTTATAAGTTTAAAGTTTAGACTGCTACTTTCTACTCTCTGGTAGGGTTGTGCCTGAGCATTTGATACTCAAACACGCTTTCCTATATATTATTATTGTCATTACCTTCAGTCTAGACAGCTCCTAATTTGTAGTTACCCCATGGTTGGCTGGCAATTAGAGCATTGTGATACAAAGGCTATATACATATATGTTATTCTTGTTAAGCATCCAGTCAGCTCAGACTTAGCAACCATGAATAGGGTTTCTGACGAGCAACTGGTGCGTCTGAACTGTTGACCCTGTGGTTCACAGTCCAGTGCTGACCCTACAGCATCACAAGAGGAGTCCATATATATCTATATAGTAGTGTTGGTATGGCTCTGTAAGATAAGCATTTGAAGTGCTAACCAAAAGGCCGGTGGTTCAAACTCACTAAAAAATCCTTGGAAATCCTATACAGGGTCACTATGAGTTAGAACTGACTCAATGACACACAAAAATGATATGTATACACACACACATACACATAAAAATACAGTGTGTTCATTTTATTATTTTTAAAAAGATTCCTCTATGGAAAATCTCTGTTAGATACCCAGTGGCGTGGATGTGAGCTATAGTACATGGGAAAATGGGAGTTACCATGCCTAGGTGAAAATTTACACAGCAAATTGATTTCCCATATAACAAAGTTGGCAACAATTTTTACAATGTGTCTCCATGTCATTCATTTTGGTCTTTCATCTACATTCTGCTTATTCTAACTTACACCCACTGTAATTTTCCAAAAGCCTTAAAATCAGGACATCAACCTATTGATTTAAGTGGGAAGGGACATTATGGTATCATCTCTCAAAGGTATAAAACTCCAGAGGAACGAGTGACATATGCTTTTCATTCTTTTCCTTAGATTGAGAATCAATATAAAAAAGGTAGATGTGTAAGCAGAGGACTCTCTGAAATTAATCACTTTTCGTCCTAAGCACAGCTGCTAAGATTTGGACCATCTCCTTATTGTGTATCAAAGCACTGACATTCAGGAGCGCTCAGCCCAGGCGTAACATAGGTGTGCAGTTTGGAGACAGAGCAATTTTTCTAGGAAGTCTTCCAATATGGAACAAGGGAGTTATCAGTATTCTAACAGATCCCAAAGGAATATTTACGTTTATCAATGTGAGAAGTCAGTGCAGGGTACACAAAAGACTCAAAAAGGGGAAAGGAAACTGGCTCAGCCAAAGCACCACCCTCCACAATAAAATCAGAGGTACTTACGCTTTTTCCAGAAATGCATCCCTGGACATGTTTTGGGCCAGCAGGTTTGTTGCCAAACTGAAAACCTCATTTGTCCATTCCTGAAAATATAAATTACACTTGCATTAGTTTAAATACCTACAATCACTAGAGAGATGTATTGTAGCTTGGCTTCCCAGAAGATACATTAGCTCAATTTGTAAGCCTAACAGTCCCCACCCCAACACATTTTTTTTTTTTGGTAAAAATGACATAATTACATTAAAATCCCAAAGTGACTATTCATTTTCTAAGGAAATGTTCGTTACATGTAAACAGTTTTCCCTGTTTTTTAAACTCTGTGCCATTGATGTTGCTGTTAAATGCTGTCAATTTGGTTCTGACTCATAGCAACCCTGTATAGAGTTTCTGAGGTTGTAAATCTTTATTGGATCAGAAAGCCTCATCTTTCTCCTACATATGACATTGATAGGCAAATGGAATATATTGCCTTTTGAAAACTGAACACTTTTTACTATTTTGTCATTATAAGCAGATAAATAGTTATAGAACATGTCTTTGAAACATAGTTTCTGCAGAAATGCAAATATAATCTTCCCAAAGAAAAGAAGCTATATTAAATGTTAATAACCATTCTAGAAGTTGTCTAAACTTCTAAACTAATTGTGGCTAAATGTCACACAATGTCCAGTATTCTCTCAACCACCAACTTTGTCAATCTCTCACTATTCTTCTAATCTTAATCTTTACCTCAGACTATTCACCAGTAATCTCACTTGGCTTCCATCCAGAAATGTGGGAAAAAGCATGTGGAAGCCAAAATTTGGATTATATTTTGACACATGATATAAATTCTGGGTTCCATTTTTTTTTTTTTTTTCCCCAAGAGAGGATAAAATGAGATCTAAACAACCATCTGACTTTGTTGTCATTGACATCACTCTCCTTTAAATGAAATAATACCTTTCCATCCAAACTAGCTTCCATCCCAAATTTGATCATCTTTGTTGTTTCTTCAAGTGTTTTACTGGCTACAGTGCAATGGATTACTTCATATACTCTTTTACCTATAATTCTTGTAACTCACACCAAACAATTTTTTCTTGTTGGGTCTAGATAAAAAAAAGGTGGAAGAATATGACTAGGATGATGATATGTTTCAATTTTGAGTGGCTGTTAAAGAGTAAATTGTGGTCATAAAAACTTGGATCTTTAATATGAGTTTAAAATGAGGTGTCTCAGAATCTGGAGGGATGATCTCACTACCAAAAAGGAAGAATCAGTCTTGTGGTACAATAGTGAATAATTGTTATCAGGACTGATTGTGAGGGTTGGAACATAAAGGTGGGCATTTTGTAGTGAAAGGAGGAGAGTGGTTGACATTGCAGTCTAGGAGTGGAGGTCCCTGGGACCATCAAGGGAGAGGAGTGGAGAGCAGGACCCTACCCAGAGAATCAGTGATGCCTGAGATGGAGGCAGAGACGATGACATGGAGAGGTGGAGCAGCTGGGGACTTTAGACCCAGAGAGGGAGAGGGGCTGTGCGCTGACGACTGGGGGGATAGTCTTGCAGGTCCTTTCATTGGTTGATGATGCATGGAGGGGACTGTAACCATGACAATGAAATGATAGGATAAATGTAAAGCTAATATTCTTCCATGTAAACTATCACATAATTCATAATAAAACATTTAAAAACAATCACAAAGGAAGAGTCAGGAGTGGCATCATTTGGACCCCAAAACCCATGTTAATTGAAACTCCTCATCTCAGGGACACAAAGCTGTGACACTAAAGGACACTTGTGGCAGATAAGCAACAGCAGCAGCAGCAGAATCGGAACATGAGACAGAGTGGTGGTCTTCCCAAACTATGAAGCAAGTAAATCTGAGTAACTTTGGGTACGAGGCTTGCCTGCAGAGTGCGGTGTCTCTGGGTTTTTCATTGGGGGTACGAGGTTTGCTGACACTTACAGCTAGAGTCGAATGCCTTCAAGCTAAGGCTTACAGTGGAGTGATGTGCCGGGTATGTATTTAAAGGCAGCCCTAAAAGGACTCTGTAGCATTGCCCTGGTAAAGAGAGAGGTTGGTATGTGGGCAAGGCTGAAGAAAGGCTATCCTAACTGGAAGAACTGTGCCCTGAGCATTTTCTGGTCCTATACTGTAGCCTGTTTACTTCCCTAATAAACCCAATAACTATGAGTACGGTGTCTGAGTTCTGTGACATTACAGCAATGAATTATCTAACCCAGTTGAGTAGAGAGTGTTGTGGGAGACATGGTTTGTATTATTTGGGATGCTTTTATCTTTTACCTCATAGGGACCAGTCTAGTACTAATCCTTCTAAAAGAAATGATCGTTGAATTGGCTTTGTTTATTTGTTTTGTTTTAAATCCTGCCTTAAGGCACTGATAAGACACTGTTATGCAATACATTTGAGGTGAAACATGAAAATGGGGAGGGGGGAGCACAGAGTGATGAGAAATGGAGGAGGAAATTCTAAGCAGAGAAAATAATCTGACTAATGATCCAAAGCAAACATGACAGGAGTTTGAGGAAACTGAGCTTACTGTAATTGAAATTGAAAAAGGAAAAGGGGTGAGAAGTTACAACAACAACATCAAAATAGAGTCGGAACAGAGCATAGAAAGCATTGGGTGTTTGTTCAGGAACCTCTAAGTAATTTAGCAAGAAGTTCTGCATCACCTAAGTCTTTTTAGCTCCAGAAGACAAACTCAAATATGACAACAAAATGTGCAAAGATCTGGAAATAGAAAACCAAAAGGGAAGAACACACTCAGCATTTCTCAAGCTGGGGGAACTGAAGAAAAAATTCAAGCCTCGAC